TTAAGAAATTTGGAAACCGAAATCTACACTCACAATTTCCTTTTCATTTTGGCAGCTGAATTCAAATGTTATTTTAAGTGCTAGGAGGGAAAGACAAAGAGGCCACTGGAGAACTCTTCTCAGGGGCCCAGAGTTGAATATCATCGGAGTAAGTGATTGTTCTGTTATGAGCTGGCTTCAGGGCTCTTTCTTTACCCCTCCTTGAATTTACAAGGAAATAGAAGGCAAGTAGAGAGTTCTCAAAAGGAAAGGTAAGAACCAATTGGTTTACTTCCCTAACCCAGATAATGGCAAAAAAAAAAAAAAAGCCTGTCGGTAGCTGTTCGTTTTTTTCCTTTTGCCTATCCCTTTTCTTGTCCTGGAGAGGATGAAACACGTTCTATTTGCTTCATAAAGTTTCCTCTAAGCAAAGTGCTACGACTCTGGCTGTGAAAGTGATTGATGTCCTTCCAGACCCCAGAGGCTTTTGAAAACATTCACTGTCATTTCAAAGCAGCAGAAAAGTACAAGAGTGTGTGGGGAATTGTGTGAGGAAAAAAGATGATTTGTTTTTTATCAGAATGGAGGAGAAAGGAAAGGGGAAAAAAATGTAGACGTGAGTTCTGTTCTTCTATAATAAATAGACTGCTTAGGATTTAACGGGGAAGGAACTCTCCCTTGAAAATGAACTGCTTGGCTATTCATTCATTCATCCACTCAGAGAGCAGATACTGAGCCTCTTTTATGATCTGATCTCATGCTGGCTTCCAGATAAGCAAAGATGAATAAAATTGCATGTCCACCCACGTCGTTTACATGGGATAACACATATGTTTAAACAAAAAAAAAAGGACAATGCCTTTGGCATGTGATGTAGAGGAAGTGGGAAGACTAGAGGAAAGAATGACCCCTCTCCAATCTGTTGAAAGGAGAAAGAGTGGGCTTCATAAAAACAGTGATATTAGAGTCTTTTTTTTTTTTTTTGGAAAGGTTTTTGCTATAGGGCGCATGCGCTCACCAGACAGACAGAGAGAGACAGAGAGATAGAAAGCGAGAAATCACCCCCCAGAGGGGATGGCCATGCTGCAATCCCTTCTCCTCCATTCTCCTCTCGGGATCTTGGGAATCCACGCACACGCACCCGGGTCCGGGACGCGAATCACAGTCGACTACATGGAAGTCCAGCGACATAGCCATTATGCTAACTGCTGCTCCCATATTAGAGTCTTCATAGAGGAATTGAACATCAGGGTAGACATCTCAACCTACAGAGGGATGTGCGGGTCTGCAATCTTGCAACATCAACTCTTGGGGCCAGGCTCACATTGTAAATGAGCATAATAACTTCATAAGGTCCTTATGAGCTTTACATGAGGTGGTGTCCGTAAAGTGTCTAATGCTGAGCTGTGCATGAAGTAAGTCATCTATAGAAGTCCGATCTATTGGGCCAGCAGGTGGCAAAGTGGATAAATTGCTGGATTCCCAATTGGATGACCACGGTTCGAATTCTGGATCTGGCAGCTTGAAACTCACACTGGGCACATTATGCGTGCATGCCCAAAGTCCTGAGAGGAGAATGGAGAAGAGGGGATTGTGCCATGGCCATCCCCCCCAAGGGAGGATTTCTCACTTTCTGTCTCTCTCCTTCTCTCCAGCGAGTGCACATGCTCCATAGCAAAAATCTCTCTCTCTCTTTCTCTTTTTTTAAATCTATCATCGTGGTCCTGATATTTATTTACTCTTGTTGACAGCTAAGTAGGAATTTGTCAATTAGAGAGAAAAGGTAGTACAGAGGAGAAACAAAGGAGTGATTTCAGGAACTCCAGGAACCCCAGAGGAACCCGGAGAAAGACTGAGAGGGAAAAACGTCCTGTACGAATAAAAAAGGGCTTGATCTTCTTTGCTTTTGCTTTGCATTTTGTAAGATGGGGATTTAAACGTCTCTGAGTGGATTCGATTTCACAAATGCCTTTGCATTTTGTAAGACGGGGATTTAAATGTCTCTGAGTGGATTCGATTTCACAAATGCCTTTCGTTCTTCTTGCTGAAACGCAGGCATGCTGGATGTCAGCTGAATCAAAGGGTTTCAGACACGTACTGTGGACCAAGGTGGTGACAGTATTGGTGTGTTTCATGTGGTCTGAATGGAAAGAACTTAGAATGGCCTTTGCGTTTCCCCTTTCAATCAACATTCAACCATTGGTTCGCATCCTCGGCTCTGCATTAGAGTCTGCTGGAAGATTCAAATACTACCACTGCTGGGACCAGCAGATGGTGTAATGGTTACATCGCTGGACTCCCATGTAGTTAACCATGGTTTGAGTCCTGAACCTGATGGCTTAAAACTCACGCCAGGCACATTGAGAAGGGATTGTGGCATGGCCACCCCCCATGGGGAGTGATTTCTCACTTTCTGTCTCTCTGTTTCTCTGGCAAGTGCATGTGCCCCATAGCAAAAATCTCTCTCTATAAAAAATAAAACAAATACTACTACTGCTTGTACCACTCTCTTAGAAACTGTTTGAAGGCCCTGGGGTGAAGCCCCAATCTCGTGTTTTCCAGAAGGCCACCAGGTCATTTTAACACACAGCCAATTTGTAGCCACGGTGTTGGGAAGTTCAAGGCTCACCTGTGTGGTCTAGGATGACCCAACTGTGGAGTGACACCATTCCTTCTTGTCAAGATGAGACTGCCTTTGACATAATAGGTTAAGTCCCTTCCTTCCTAGAGATACCTTTAACAGAGAAAAGGATGCTCTGGGAGGAACCAGCAGTTAGCGTGATGGCTATGCCGCTGGACTCCCATGTAGTTGACCGTGGTTTGTGTCCCGGACCCGGTGGCTTAAAACTCAAGCCGGGCGCATGTGCATGCGTGCCCAAGATCCCGAGAGGAGAATGGAGGAGAAGGGATTGCGGCGTGACCGTCCCCCCTGGGGGGTGATTTCTCACTTTCTGTCTCTATGTCTCTCTCTGTCTGTCTGGCGAGCACACGCGCCCTATAGTGAAAACCTCTCCAAAAAAAAAAAAAAAAAAAATGATGCTCTGGGTAAATTCTTCTAGCTCACTTGGATCAATTCTCTACCCTCATTTTCTTTTTCTTTTTCTTTTTCTTTTTTTTTTAAGGTTTTTGCCATAGGGTATGTGCACTTGCTGGAGAGAAAGAGAGATAGACAGAGACAGACAGAGGGAAAGTGAGAAATCACCCTCCAGGGGAAGGCCAAGCCACAATCCCTTCTCCTCCATTCATCTCTCAGGACTTTGGGCACACACACACATGGAATGAGTTTCAGGACACTGGCTCTAGGGCTCGAACTGTGGTTGGGTCTACGGGAGTCCAGTGCCTTAACTGCCATGCCACCTGCCTACCCTCATTTAATCTTCCCCCTCTCACTCATATTTAGCTGTCAGAAGGAATAATTTCTGTGCCTTTCAATTATGCCTTGGAAACTACATGGGGCCCTCTTGTTTGTTCTCAGTCCTTCTTTCTACCAGCTTTGCTTGGCTTTTTTGAGCCTTGTCCATGGAAGCCTGCCCTTAGGGCTGCTCAGAAGGATTCACTTCCTTCTGCTGTTAAACTTGGGCATTTTTTTTTTCTTTTGGGCTATAGGATGTGTACAGTTTGTGTGTGTGTGTGTGTGTGTGTGTGTGTGTGTGTGAGAGAGAGAGAGAGAGAGAGAGAGAGAGAAGGCAATCTCAGGGGGATTGGCTATGCCACAATCCCCTCTCCTCTACTCTCTTGTTTTTTTGGGGAGAGGTTTTTGCTATAGGGCGTGTGTGCTCACCAGACAGACAGAGAGAGACAGAGAGATAGAAAGTGAGAAATCACCCCCCAGGAGGGGGGGAAGGCCATACTACAATCCCTTCTCCTCCATTCTCCTCTCAGGATCTTGGGCACGCACGCACATGCGCCCCGTGTGAGTTTAAGCCACCGGGTCTGGGACTTGAACCATGGTTGACTACATGGGAATCCAGCGACATAGCCATTACGCTAACTGCTAGTCCCAGGATTCATTTTCTTCTGCTGTTAAACTTGGGCTTTTTATTTATTTATTTATTTTTTCCGGCTATAGGATGTGTATGGTTGAGAGAGAGAGAGAGAGAGGAGAGAGAAAGCAACTTCAGGGGAGTTGGCCATGTCACAATCCCTTCTCCTCTACTCTCTTCTCAGAATTTTGGACACATCCACACATGCACCTGCTGTGTTTTTCAAGCCACTGGGTCTGGGACTCTAAGCACACAGTTGGCCATATGGGGTCCAGCTGCCTTCACCTCTGCCACTGGCTGGCCTTCCCTGGACATTTTGAGCAGGATGCCCTGCCTCCATAGCCCTGTCACCGGATAGCCTTCCTATCTGGGGATTAGCCCACATCCCAGTCCCAGATATGATCATTGACTTTCAAAGGGCACGAGTTCTTTAGAAATGCCCAGGGCAAGCCAGCTGTTGGGTTGGTCCAAACAAGTTCCTTTGAGGAGCATCAAATAGTATTGCCGCCCAATAAAAAGTTAAATTGATATGAATTACTTTTTTTTTTTTTTTTTTTTTGCCAACCATGAGATTACTGGCCTTTACAGAGAAAGAAGCTGGACCTTTTGATCCTCGGCTGAGCACCCCGTGGCAATGCTGACTTTTGGACGGAATTCTGGGCAGGTTTGCTCAGATCGTTGGAGTGCAATGCCAGGGAGCTGAAGGTTGCCAGTGGCTTTCCCACCGAATGCCAAACCGGGAACTGTGCCAGGGGCCAATGTGCAAATGGCAAGATGCGCAGAGATCAAGGAGGGGGGGAGATAAAAACAGGAGAGAGAATTCCCCCATTGTTGGATGACAGATAATCTTCAAATCTACTCATGCGTCCATAGAAAGGAAAGGATGTGTTTGCTGCATAGACAGGATCTGACATACTCACTTTTCGTAGTCCAGTAAGATTTCTTAGTTCTTTGACCATATTGGGGGGAGGGACCCTCAAATTGTGTGCTCTGATAACCACAATAATTATAAATTTTCCACCTCTGGTGCTCACTTCAGCAGCCTGCATATACTAAAACTGAAATGATGCAGAGATGAACAGATTAACATAGCCCCTATGCTAGGATGACAAGCCAATTCCTGCAGTGTTCCATATTTTTATAAAATAGAAATGGTCTTTTTTTTTAAATAGGTTTTTACTGTAGGGCGTGTGTGCTCGCCAAACAGACAGAGAGAGACAGAGAGACAGAAAGCGAGAAATCACCCCCCCAGAGAAGACGGCCACACCACAATCCCTTCTCCTCCATTCTCCTCTCGGGATCTTGGGCACGCACGCACACGCGCCTGGCATGAGTTTAAGCCACCGGGTCCGGGACTCGAACCGTGATCGACTACTTGGGAGTCCAGCGACATAGCCATTATGCCAGCTGCTGGTCCCAGGTCTAAATCTTTATCAGCAAGGATTAGTTAAATACATTTAAAAATACCTATCCAAGATATTCCTATACTTTCTACTTAATAATGGCATCCTATAGTAAGTGAAAACAAATGTTTAACATCGTAGTGTATAGGCCTCTTTCTGTAAAATACGTTTTAGTGAAGAATATAAAATAGTTTGGGGAAAACGAAGAGATTTTCCACCTCTGCCCGGTAAAGCACCTAAGTAATCAAATAATTTAAACATATCTGAAATGGAAAAACATGTCAAGCTACACAGCAAGTCTCTGTGCAGAGTTGTTGAGTGTGTAAGTAAGAGAGGTTTCTATCGAAGCAATGCCCTGATTAATTCCACTGAGTCAGAGGTGTTTCTTGGCCCATCCCTCCCTCCAGTGAGTGTTGGCTGGAGTGAAATCTTCTATCCTGGGTGCTGTGTTTGACAAAGTTGTACCTGCGGCCTCTTTCACCCATACTTGTTCAATACTGCAAGCCCGCGAATTGCAGAGGAAAACTACAACACGTTCCCTTGTTTTCAACAGCTCAACCACCCGTACCGTCATTTCAGAACGTGAGCATAAATATCGTTCTGTTGTAGGAAAATGGAGGACACTCCAGTTTTTCTTCTTTGTTTCCTCTTCTTTTTCTTTCTTTTGGAAACGCATACCCTCTGGAAGGCCTGCGATGGTTGCAAAGTGGTTAAATAAACAGCACTCTCGCACCATTGTCAGTAGAATGTCTTGGAGTATTAGCTGTTTATTTCACTGACATATTCTGAAGGGCCTATAGGGGGCTTTTTCAGAAGTCAGGACCTCAATGTAATATACAAGCATTGATTCTGATATTTCCCTTGATAACGGTGCTCGACCATATTGGGGTCGTAAGTCAGTAAGGTTCATTGGCCACTGTAATGCTCGCTGTCACCAGTAATAAGTACAAAGGAGTTACTCTAAAAGCTGGCTTATAAAACTTTAAGGAAACTTGGATTGCTTAAGTGAACTTGCAAGGCCCTGACGGGGCCAAGTGGGCCTTAGTTGTCTACTTATATTAATTTCACAGAGTTTAAAGGGTCAAGAAAGGCGGTGGGTGATGCTTATTAATTTATGAACGACAGACTCTTGTCTGTCTCGCTAGCTCGCTTTGACCATCCTGCCTTTTCTTTTAGAAAATTTAATATAAATGAAACCTTCCCAGACAAGAGTGCCCTAAAGGATTAAGTCTAAAGTTCACAGCTGGACTAAAAGGATCCGAAGACGCGATGGCTTTTTTTTGTTGGCACGATTTCATTTGACGTGCTGGTGGGACAGTGGAATCACATCATGGACATAAAACATGAGAAGATAAAAGCAATTAGAGGCATACCACCGTGGGCCGGGGATTAAGATATTTAAAAAATAAGAGACAGACTTGCTTCTAAAAATTCAGAAGGTTGTGCCTTAAATAAAGGGAAAGTGTGAGTAGATTGAGCCTTACTGCAACAGAAATTCAGTACAGAGACCAGCAGTTGACGTAATGGCTATGTTGCTGGACTCCCATGTAGTCGACCACAGTTCGAGTCCCAGGGTCGGTGGCTTAAACTCACGCTGGGTGTGTGTGTGTGTGTGTGTGTGTGTGTGTGTATGTGTGTGTGTGCCCAAGATCCCAAGAGGAGGATAGAGGAGAAGGGATTGTGGCGTGGCCATCTCCCCGGGGGGTGACTTCTCGCTTTCTGTCTCTCTGTCTTTTTGGAAAGCACATGCGCCCTATAACAAAACAAAACAAAACAAAACAAAACAACTCTCAAAAATAAAGAAAGAAATTCAATATGGCATAATCTCTGATTTGATTAAAGTCATAATCAATGATTTTTTTCTAAAAGTTTTAGAAGTCGTGTCCATGAAATCAACAATTACTTGACATGCCAGAACACATAACTACATGAGTGACAATCAAGACAAAGACAGTCAATGGGAATAAGCCCACAGGTGGTCCAGATGTAAGGATTAGTTAACAAGACTTTAAAAATAACCTGATGTGTAAAGTTGAAGAACATGGAGAAAAGAGCCGAAACTATAGAACATATATCAATGTATCTGACATCTCAATCTACTAAATATTAGGAAACGGGCAATTCTAGGGCTGAGTAATACAATCAGTGTTAAGAATACGAACATAACAATAATTCTGCTTATTGCTGGGAGGCAAGTCAACAGAATAGCTTTTTCTTTCCTTCCTTCCTCTCTGACTTTTTTATTATCTACTGAGAGAGAGAAAGAGAAGAGATAAACACACTTAATGAGATCTCTCACTGCAGTTCCCCCCTTTCCTCAGCCTTCTAGCCAGCGAGGATCATGGGTGTGGATATGCACATGTGTCCAGTGGGTTCCAGTTGATCTGACAACTGAACTCTGTTCTTCCACATAGTTTCTAGCATTGTAGAACATTGTGTTGGGTCATTTAAAAGTCATAATGCATTTTTGCATAAAAAAATACATTATGGGACCAGCAATTAGCGTAATGGCTATGTCGCTGGACTCCCATGTAGTCGACCGTGGTTCAAGTCCTGGACCCAGTGACTTAAACTCACACTGGGCGCGTGTGCATGCGTGCCCAAGATCCCAAGAGGAGAATGTAGGAGAAGGGACTGTGGTGTGGCCATCCCCTCTGGGGGGTGATTTCTCGCTTTCTGTCTCTCTGTCTCTCTCTGTCTGTCTGGCGAGCGCACGCGCCCTATAGCAAAAACCTCTACAACAACAATTAAAAAAAATACATCATGACTTTTCTGGTAACTCAGTATTACCACTAAACCACTGTATCTGGGCCAAGCTTCCTTCTTTTTTAAGGCTTTTAAAAATCCATTCATCTGTTTGGGGACACTTGGGTTGCTTCCACCTCTTAGCTATTATTAACAGCACTGCTATGCACATGGGTGAACACGTATCCGTTAAAGTTTTTGCTTTAATTTCTTTTGGGTACATGCCCCAAATAAGAATTGCTGATTCATATGGTAGTTTTAGCTTTAATTTGGGGAAGAATTGTTGTACTGTTTTCCACAGTGGCTTTACTATTTTACACTCCCAACAGCAATGCAACATTGTTCCAATTTCTTTATCTCCTCTGCAAAACTTATTGTCTGTGTTTTGAGTATACTCATCCTAAAGAGTATGAACTGATACGTCATGGTGATTTTTATTTGCATTTCTCTAATGATCAGTGATGTTGAATATGTTTTCATGTGATTATTGTCCATTTATATAGGTCATTGAGTTTTGTTGTTTTTCGAATTGCAAGAGTACTTTATATATGGAATATACGGAAGTTCCTTATCATATATTTAATTTGCAAATATTTTATCCCATTCTGTAGGCTGCCTTTTCATTTTGTTAATAGTATTTTCTGATGCATGGAAGTTCTTAAATTTTGATATAGTCAAACTAGTTTTTATATTGTTACCTGTACTTTTGGTGTCATATTCAAGAAATCAGTACCAAATTCAATATCACTAAGTTTTCTTCATATACTCCCTTCTAAGAGTTTTATGGTTTTAGCTTTTTCACTCAGGTCTTGGATCATTGAGTTAATTTTTGCGTACAGTGTTAAGTAAGAGTTAAATTTTTATTCTTTTGCATGTGGATGTCCAACTTTACTGTTAGTACTTGTTGACAGTTATTCCCCATTGAGTAGTCTTGACACACGTGTCAAAAATCATTTGACCAGGGCCAGCAGGTGGTCTGTGGTTAAGGGTACTTGACTTCCACATGGCTGACCACGGTTCGAGTCCTGGGCCTGGCAAGTTACTTTCTCTCTCTCTCTCTTTCTCTCTCTTTTCCTCTCTTTCACACACACTCTCTGTCCATCTCTAGTAAAATAAAAATAAATAAATAAATAAATTTAAATAAAATAATTCCTTTAAAAAATCATTTGACCATATTTGCAAGAGTTTATTTCTGGATACTGTTCTATTCCACTGGCCTTTATGTCTGTCCTTATGTTAGTACTGCACTATTTTGGTGACAGAAGCTTTGTAAAAAGTTTCAGAATCAGAAAATGTGAAACCTCTATTGCCATGAGTGGGAGCAATTGCTGGGACTGTGAATTCTAAGCACTTCTGTGATAGCAGAGGTTGAAGAAATGAATAACCTTAGAAACAAATGGAACTTGGTGGTCGCTAACACCAAAAGATGGTGAATCATTAGGTGTGTGTCTTCTGCTTTTGCTGGAACAATGAAGACAAAGATGATCAATGTTAGAAAGATGATGACTTTAGCTTCTATTAAAATTTTTGGATACATGAGAACAAAGGCTTCTGGTCTAGTACATTCCTGGGCTCTGGTCTTCATTTACTATTTAGGTCTGTCTTTATGTGTAAAAATAATGCAAGGGTAGAAACTATCTTCACCCAATTAAGATTCATTCTTGATTATATTGTATCTTTCTTCTTTAATCCTAAAATACACTTTAGACCATATATAACAGAACATAGAATAGTGTTAGAAGTGTGTTTCTATCTCATGCAAGGAAAGCAAGAGGTGGGCAACCCAGTGATGGGTAACTGCACGGGCTTTTTGAAGAACTCTATTTCCAGCTTTCTATTTTGCAACCCCACGACTGTAGTCTTTTTTTTTTTTTTTTTTTGAAGGGAAACAACCTAGATAATGCAATATTCAGGGTCCAGTTAAATAAATGATGACAAGATCTATACGGTGGAGTATCTGGTGCCCACACACCCGCTTCAGCCCAGCCCGGT